AAGAATGATAATAATAATAAAAAAGAATAGTAATAACAACAACATAATAACAATAATAATGATAATAACAATCATAATATAGCACATATCCAAGCTGCAGGAAAAACAAAAATTGCAGTCTTTAAAGTGAAATGTTTCTTTTAAAAGTCAGCATTATCATAATTACAAGGAAAACACATACTCAAAAACTGGCGTATCCTGAAGAAGTACTTGGAGTGGAAAACATCCTTCTTGCCCGCCTGTTCAACATCTGGGGCTCCGACTTTGGTAGCTTGAAACTTGGCAAAAGCCCCGAGATCTTTTGTGTATTGTCCATAGAGCTGGAAGGAAAGAAGGGGAGACTTATGTAGTAAACATTTCTTGTACATTGTTCACAGAACTAGGACACAAGACAGAAGTGGAAATGTAAAAATTTGTAAAAACTTCCCGTGTTCTGTGTATTGTCTATAAGAATACAATGGGGGAAATGTAAACATTTCTTGTATTCCACATCAGAGATGCCAACTGGCAGCTGCAAAAAAGTCCTGAACTTTTAAGACCCCCCCCCCCCCATGTGCTTGGACTCATAATTTATTCATCATTTCGTCTATAAACACATTTTATAAAGACTGTTTTTATAACAACTTTTACACGATTGATGAATTTTTAGTTTGCAATACCTACTTCAGCATTTTATTTGAGACGAAACCAAAAGGAGCCTTAGTGACCATGCATGAGTATTTTAAACGTGAATAATTACTAATGAGACCTGTGTACTCAACAGGTTTGCTGCTAGCCTAACCCTATGGAAAGGTTTTAAGTTTTCTCTTTTTTTTTTAAAACTGGACTTTTAATTGATCAATGATTTAGTCTTTCTCGTCACCAAATAAAGCGAGTTTCGACTCCTATTGATACGGCGGATTTCACGGTAAGGGCGTGAGAGACAACACAGGGTTTATTTTTTAAATAAAATTCTCCTCTTGTCGAACTGTTTTGTGCTCAATTTGTGTTGTTTTGATTGTTTATGGGCCCAATAAACATGTGAATAAAAAACAAGTGTTGACATTGTTTATTTTGTTTGTTGGATTTTTGTGTGACAGTGTCACCAACGTAAGGATTTAGACTTAGTGCATTTCCCAAAGTTCGCGAGTCCGACAATTTCCGTTTTAAATGGCATATTATGCTAGATTTTCTCAAAAATGATTAAAATGGCTAGAACGCAAGAAGTGCGTTTTTCTAATGTGATAAGACAAAAAAAGAAAACCTAGCATCAGTTTGAAATGACAACGGAGAGAGCAAAATGGTGGTCATAAATCGTCGGACTGAGTGCGACATTTTGACCCAACGTGAAGTGCCAAATCTACTTCCAAAAAGTGAAATGAATGTAAGTATTTGTGGTCAGACTACGCTATATTCAAAATCGTTTTTTTAAGTTTTAGTAGAGGTTTTACGGCTCTCGCAACTGCATAATGTCATATGAGCGCCAGAAGATTAGAGGTGTTACAAGAGAGTAACAAACATAAAAAAGA